TAAAACAAGAACTAAACAATAATTCCTACTGTCATTTGCTTCTATTTAACACTGTACTGGAGGTCCTAGTCAATAGAGTAAAACAAGAAAAACCAATCAAATGTAAAAATTGAAAAGGAGGAAACAAAATTGTCAATTGCTTCATCTTCATTTACATAAAAACCTCATTACTATTAGAATTAGTTATGAAAAAAAGATTCCTACAAGAAGTAAATTGCATCCGCTTACTCAATCTACACACTTCTAGAAAGTGCAACTTTTAGAATAGCAGTAAAAGCAAGCTACTTAGGTATACATCTAACAAAAGGTGTGCTAGCAGAAAAAATTATAATATTGTATTGAAAGTCATTAACAAAGAGCAGAATCAGTGGAAACGTATACCACCTTCATGGATGAGAAAATTCTTAAAGATGTCAGATTCACCAAAAATGATCTACAAATTTAAACACCATCAAGACTCCAGTACAAATTTTCATGTGACTTGGTGAGCTGATTCTAATATGTTTATGGAAAACAAATAGGCCAAGAATAAACCAAGATAATTTGAAAGAAAATCAAGGTAGGGAGACTTGCCCTACTAGATTTCAAGACGTTTTATTAAACTATAGTACTCAAGACAGCGTAGTATTGGTATAAGGAGGGAGAAATAAACAAGTCTACAGAACAGAGGAGGGAGCTCAGAAGCAGACTCACTAGAGACGATTTATCATCCAGATGATTGCTAGAACGACTGGTTATCTTGATGGGAAAAAAATTGCACTGGATCTCTACTTCACACCATTTCCACAGTAAACAAATTCTAGCAGAACTTTAAATACAGGGGGTGGGTATAGCTCAAGTGGTAGAGTGCATGCTGAGCATGCATGAGGTCCTGGGGATTGAACCCAGCACCTACTCTAAGAATAAATAAGCCTTATTACCTCCCCCCACCAAAAGAAGAAAAATAAACAAACTTAATGTGAAAAGCCAACTTGTGGAAGAAAATACCCAAAAAAAATTTTTTTAGAAACTTAGGGTAGAAAAAGTTTTTTTTTAATTTCCACATTATGCCACTACTTTATTCTTCATCCATAATTAGGGTAATCCCAGGATTCTTAGGGACTTTTTGGGGATGGGGATGGGGATGTGGAGGTAATTAGGTTTATTTATTTGTTTATTTTTTAATGGAAGTACGGGGGATTGAATATGTATGTATGCTAGGCATGCACTCTGCCACTGAGCTATACCCTCCCCCTGGAAACAGATTTCTTAAACAAATTTTTTAAAAAAAGCACAAATCTTAAAGAAAAAAAATTAACTAGACTATGTTTGTAATGTCCTCTAGTCAAAGACCACTGCGAACCCACTTATCTTTGAATAAGTTGGATTTATTGCTCATGAGGCCATGGAGGACTGTGCGACATGTCAGTAAGACGGCATTAGAAATGACTTACAGGACTCGTGGTTGTGTCAGGTGGTTTGGGGCAGGGTTTGAGGAAGTTGGGCTTTTCTCAGGACTGCGTGCTGTCAGAAGTGGGGCTATTTCTATAGTTGGGTACCTGAATAAATCTTCTCTGTAGGGAGTATAGACTAGAACGAGGATTAAGCTGTGACTGGTCCAACAGCCGCAGTTACTCATACTGGGCAGATTGTGGAAAGCTCGGTCATTTTTGTGGTTTGGACAATGTTCATATTTCTGTTCAATCATGTTTATGGGATGGTCTTGCTTCAGCCATTATCCATCACGGTCACAAAATGGCTTTGTCTGATGTTGCTCTTCTGTGACATCGTTCATGTTCTGCAGGAGAACAGCACGGTCTAGCTGACAGTGCCAACCCAGCTCTCGGATGTCAGGGCTTGTTTACTCTTTTGCAACATTAACTTAGAATCTAATTCACAGAGGCTACCATAAACAAAGTGGAAACAGAAGCTGTCAACTCAGAGAAGATATTTTCAAGACATATACCTGGCTTCCAACCTGGCTTGTTAGGAGCTTGGAAGTCATCGCTTCATCTTAACTCCGTGTAATACAGAAATCGTGCTCCTTGGTATTTATTTACTCAAAGGAGCGGAAAACTTATGTCCACACAAAAACCTGAACAAAATGTTTACAGCAGCTTTATTCCTAGCTGCCAAATTTGGAAGCAACCAACATGCCCTTGCTAGGTGAAACTATAGAAACAGTAAAAAAAAATCAGTGGGTGCCAGGGATTTGAGGTGAGGGAGGGATGACGAGGCAGAGCACAGGTGATCAGGTCCATGAAATCATTCTGAAATCTACAGTGGTGGATACATGTTTTCATGCATTTGTCAAAACATGCAACACCAGGCGTGAACCCAAAGGTAAACCGTGGACTTTGAGTGATGATGATAGAGGTTCATTGGTCGTAACAAAGGTACCACTCTGGTGGGGGATGTCGAGTGTGTGTGGAGGGGGGACAAAGGGAACTCTCTTTCTTTTTTGCTCAGTTTTGCTGTGAAACTAAAAATGCTCTAGAAAATAAAGTTAATTAATTGAAAAGATACTAAATATGCAGGGATTACTGTTGCAAATATATAAAGAATTCCTACAAATCAATAAGATAAAAGACAAGGGAGGGTATAGCTCAGTGGTAGAGTGTGTGCTTAGCATGCATGAGGTTCTGGGTTCAATCCCCAGTACCTCCATTAAAAAATAAATAAAATAAAAATAAATAAACCTAATTACCCCCCAAAAATAAGATAAAAGAAAAATAAAACAATAGAAAACTGGACAGAAAACTGAACTGACGAGAAGTCCAGATCCAGTAAGATCAAGGAAGCCACTTTTCCTCGTACTGATCAGCCCGGGTTTGTAGGCACCTGCTTTCTTCTTGGTCCCCTCCTTGAGCCCTGCCAGTGCAGTCTCTCACTTGCCTCTCCACTTCAATGACATTTGCCAAGGTTGTGGCAAAGGGCTCCTTTTAGTCCTGTCTTACTGTGTCCCTGGCTGCCCCTTTGCTGTCCCCATATCCTACAGACTGTAGTTCCTCACGACTCCTTCACAGACACACTAGTGACTTCTTCCAGTCCTGTGGTCTTGAAGATGACCCTTGGGAAGATGGAGCCCAAATTCATATCCCAGCCAACCTTGGCCCTGAGCCCCTGACTCATGGTCCCTGCCTCCCACAGCCCAGCTTCTCCCCAGCCTCCTTCTCAGGAAATGACCAGTACCCATCCATCCATCCACCCTTTGTTTCAGCTGAAACCTGCACAACCCCCCTTTCCTGCTCCCTTCCCCATCCCCAAGTCCAGTGCAAGTCCTCCAGGTGCTACAGGCAAAGCTCCATTCATGCCAACACCCTCACCCAAACCCCCACGCCTGGCCTGGGCGATCCCTGTGGGCTCCATCTGTCTCCTCCCTCCCCATGGCTCATCCAGGACCATCCAAGGGGGCAGGCACTATGATGGTGCCACCTGCTGAGACACTTCATGGGTTCCCCTGTACTCGGGATCAACAAAAGGATGGGGAAACATCATTCCCCCCTGGGCCTAGACCCTCACCTTTGTGTCCGTCCACCTGGAACAGACACTCTTCCCTCACAACCACAGGTGTCTGGTCATCTCTCTCCCAGGACTCAGCTCAGAGGCGGCCCTGCCTGCTGCAGCCTTTCACTGCCCAGCGTCTAGTGACCATCTGGATTGTTTGGCCACGTGTTCAGTGTCGCCCCCTCAGGACTGGTGCGTGCTGCCGGGCTGGTTCTCAGCCAGGTCCCAGGTGCAGTCTGCCTCTTAATGAACAGCAAATTTTTGTTGACAACTGGAATACATTTTTCTGGGAGTCATGATCCCATGTCACGAGGGGTGACAAACTGGCTTTTGCTCCCCATGGTAGGCTGTTAATGCCTCCCAGAGATAGGTCCACCTCCTAACCTGCTGTGAATGAGACCTAATTCAGCACCTTTTGGAAGTTCGAGATTTGCAGATACTAATATATATAAAATAGATAAACAAGTTTCTACTGTACAGCACAGGGAACTGTATTCAGTATCTTGTAGTAACTTATGATAACAAAGAATATGAAAACGAATATATGTATGTTCATGTATGACTGAAGCATTATGCTGTGCACCAGAAATCAATACAACATTGTAAACTGACTATACATCAATAAAATACATATATACACACACAAAAAGAAATAGCACCTTTGATACAGGAAAATGTAGAGCAGGAGGAAGGCTGAGTCCCTGGTTCGTGTCCCGCAAAGTGTGGGTCCCTGGCTTCACGCAGGAAAGAATTCAAGAGAGGGCCACGGTTGAATAAAAGTAGATTTATTCAGAGAGATACACACATTCCAGAGACAGACATTCTTCTGCTTCCCGGAATCTAGTAGGTGCTGGAGAAATACTGGCGGAAATATTTGATGGCCAACCTTCAGGGACGCCAGTTGTAGGTCAGGAGCTGTGATCTGTCCTGCCTGCTCTCACTCTTCCCATGGGAGCCCGTGTCAAGAACCACGACAATTAAGTGCAATTGTTACCTCAGAGAGGCTCCGAGAGGTTAAGCAACTTGCCCAGAAGCAAAAAGGAGTAAATAGGGGAAGGGAAAAGAGTGACGCACCGCCCCCAGCCACAGATGCCCCTGCCCATCCTGGCTCTCTTTGCAGCTGCCAGGGCCCCTTCCTCTGCCCCACGGATGCCAGTCAGGCACATTAGGAGAGTGCAAATGAGGGAGCTCTGCGAGGTGGGGATGGAGAGGGGCGGGCAGACATGAGGACTTGGTGCAGGGACCTGGGTGGGCCGAAATGCTCTGCTGGCCGAGGGTGTCCTGGAGGAGGCTGCCAGGGCCCCACTCGTTTTTATCTTGTAATCTTATCTTCCTCCTTAATCAAGTGATGTTCTGCCAGGCTTTCTTAGCCAACATAGAGCATCCTGGAGTTGCCAGACCTGTTTCCAGGCCAGCTGTGCCAGGGTGGGGGAGGCAAGTAATGGGTGTCAATGTGGGAGTCAGGAGAAGGCCAGACCAGATGGAGCTTCAGTTGGTTCGTCCCAGGTGCCGCTCCACTGCCAGATGTGTGCACAGGCGGAGGCCAGCAGCTGCTCAGGCTCCTGGGAGGATTGGCGGTCGGCAGGGGTGGGGTGAGACTTGGGCCTGGAGCAGTCGGCACATCTGGAGGCAGAATGTCAGACAAAGGCAGCAAAGGTTTGGCAAAGGATCCAGGGTCGGAGCCGACACCGGGGTATGTGGGACCCCCGGGGATGAGGGCCAGAGGCATGGACGAGGGAGGGAGGGGAAAGGGATGTGGGTCCACAGGGTAGGAGGCCATGGGCCTGCGGCCTGTCCTGGCCACTGCTGTGCTGCATGGTCTCTGGTCAGTTATCCTGTCTGAGACTCACTCCCTGCTTCCCCCCTAACCCCGGGACACCTAGGAGCATCCTTGGAGGAACCGTCTGTCTCTGACCTGTGCTGGCCTGGCTACAGAGGTGGAAACAAACCCTGTCTTCCCTCAAGAGGCTTCCCAGGCTGGGAGAGGAGGTAGCATGTGGATAGACAGGGACCAGACGAGTGTGACCTGGACTGTGATCAGGAGATGCCAGGGAGCTGGGACAGGGGAACGGGGGAGCTTCTTGGGAGATAAGGCCAGAGCTGAGTCTTTGGTTCTGGGTTGTAGAAGCAACTCTCCCTGTTCTTGCTGGTTCTGGAAGTATTGTGTTTTCATCATAGAAAATTTGGAAGCTACAGAAAGATGCTGAGAAGTCAATAAAAAGGGCAGGGCACTCAGTGATGCTGGTGGAGGAGGGGTTGTGGGGCCACACACACAGAGATTAGAGGCACGCTTGATGTGCCCAGTTTTGCAGCCCTAGTTTGGGGCTCTCTGACCCTTTTCTTGCTCAAGGTCCAGGCAGTCTTCCCCCCAGCAGCCCTGCTGGGCTTCTTGTCCCTACCCCAGGCTCCATCCTTCTTCCACTCTCAGACCCGCTGGGGTACCCATGGGCATTGGCGAAGCCAGGATGGGGGGTGGGTTCGGGGCTCCAGGCAGTCAGCTGTGCCACCCGGGCTCAGGACCTCTGCCCTCCCACAGCCACCTCAGCCCTCCTTCTTTACTTTGAGATCCGATTCCAGGACCACCTCCCCAGAGTGCACGGAGCCCACTTTGTGCTCTGGGGACATGTGGCACACACTGGTCTCAGTTCCTCTGTCTGCCACCACAAAACCTCTGTGGCCTCTGAGGCAAGGAAACTTCCGAGTCCCTGTGGGGGTGTCTGTGGGCCCACACGGGTGCAGGCAGGGGTGGGGGGCCATGGAACTCGGGGCGTCCCAGCCCACGCTGCCCCCGCCCTGCAGGTTGGACCCCTTCACGGACACACTGCAGCGGCTGCGGGAGGCCTTCGGCTCGGGGCGGACGCGGCCGGCCGAGTTCCGGGCTGCCCAGCTGAGGGGCCTGGGCCGCTTCCTGCGAGAGAACAAGCAGCTTCTGCAGGGGGCGCTGGCGCAGGA